GTATTCCATCCGGTCCCATTGACTTATTTGTCTTTACTTTTGACAGTTGAAATAAAACCTCTTCCTCTGTAAATTTACATGTAATAAATGACTCATTTGTCCTTTTTCCTAAATGAGGTCCCTTTCCTTCATTTTGATCTGTAAATACTGAACAAAAATATTCATTGAGGCAGTCAGCTAGACCTGTATCCTCTTCTACATACCTTCCTTCTTTTGTTTTTAATCTAACTAATCCTTGTTTTACTTTCCTTTTCTCATTTATGTATCTAAAAAATGTTTTGTCCCCTTTTTTTACTGACTGTGCTATTTTCTCTTTTGTGTGTGATTTGGAAACTCTTATAACTTGCTTAGCCTCTTTCTGCCTAATCTTATAGAGCATGCTGTCTTCCTCACTCTGTTTTTTTTTATAATTACTAAATGCTAACTTTTTATTTTTTTACTATTTTAACCACATCTGTGGAGTACCACAGTGGTTTCTTGAATTTTTTGCTTTTACTGACAAGCCTAATGCAATTTTCTGTTGCCTTCAGCAGTGCAACTTTTAAATAATCCCATTTCTATTAGACTCCATTTAAATTGCTCCAATTTGATAATGACTCCTTTACACATATTCTAATTTTAGAAAAGTCTGTTTTTTTAAAGTCTAAAACTTTTATTTTTGTGTGGTGTGACTCAGTCACTGTTCTTATATTAAACCACACTGACTGATGATCACTGGATCCTAAACTTTCACCTACAGTAATATTTGATACCAAATCTCCATTTGTTAGCACTAAATCTAGTATAGCCTCCTTACGAGTTGGCCTCTCAACGACTTGTTTTAGAGACAATCCCAGTAGGGTGTTTAGAATATGTGTGCTCCTGGCACAAGTAGCTAATTTTGTTTTCTAATTTACATCAGGAAGATTAAAGTCACCCATGATGATAACTTCCCCCTTCATTGTCATTTTAGCTATTTCCTCAACTAGTTGATTATCTACCAACTGAAAGAGTGAGGTAGAAAAAAAACACTCACTCAAAAGTGAATGGGATTCAATCTCACTCTAGAAGATTACCTCCTAAAGTAAACGTAACAAAGAAAATGGCAATAACCTTTATTGAACTAAAATTAAGCAAAGAAAATATATATAATAGGTATAAAGCTTACCCTTGGATAGAAACACCATAGAAAGTTGTGTTAGTGAAAATCACATAAAGGTGAAGAATTAAAAACCTGGGGATATGTTCCTTAATCTCATAGAAAATGATATATATATTGTATGTGCACATACGTGTATGTATCCAGCTCTTGACAAAGGCGTATGTAAATGCTGAAACACGCGTCGAGCATTTTGCCGATGCATTTACTTTAACTAAGCATTTCTTTTCTACTTTTTACCTGGGTTTGAGGGATGTCCGCTTTCATTATTTATCTATTTTTTTTTTTTTCCAAGTATGTGCTTACATAAGCTTATAGGGATTTGCTAGGCTGCCTTGAAGCAGCAGATTAGTATCTATGGCCTGCCTGTGGGCTAAATAGTAAGCCCAGGGTTTTCTAGGATATTGTCTCCTTTCCTCCAAAGTTACTAATTTCGGAGGGGGCTTTTTTGATTTAAGGTACTGCTGTCAAATATCGCTGTGGATTTTATGTATCTTTTAGTCTCATACTAGGGGATATATCACTATTGGATTTCCCCTATAGTTTATATTGCCAAATGAGACATATAGCCTCCCAGAGAGTCTGTACAGCAAGGTCGGCTACATAGCTCCACACCCATTTGTGCTAATAGGGATTTGCTAGGCTGCCTTGAAGCAGCAGTTTAGTATCTATGGCCTGCCTGTGGGCTAGATAGTAAGCCCAGGGTTTTCTAGGATATTGTCTCCTTTCCTCTAAAGTTACTAATTTCGGAGGGGGGCTTTTTTTGATTTAAGGTACTGCTGTTATATACTGCTGTGGATTTTATGTATCTTTTAGTCTTACACTAGGGGATATAGCACTATTGGATTTCCCCTATAGTTTATATTGCCAAATGAGACAGATAGCCTTCCAGAGAGTCTGTACAGCAGGGTCGGCTACATAGCTCTATACCCGTTTGTGCTTCTTCGTGAATTTATTTTCCACCAGTGAGCTATCTTGGTATACTCTATTGAGACACTGTTTATAATGACCACAGTTTAACTCCAGTACCATATCGGCATTTCTACTATCGCTAGGTACCACGATCCCAACTATATATATCACTTAAGGATTTTACCGTTTTTGCGTGACTTGGTTTATTTAATTTTCATCTTTTGTACGGAGCAGTCTGTACTTATGTTCTGTTTCTCTTATATATTGGTCCACATATCGGATGTCCGTATAGTCTTACTTGGTCCTCTTTAGAGGCCTTATTACTATTTATTTTAGCGGACTCTATACGTATGTGCACATACAATATATATATCATTTTCTATGAGATTAAGGAACACATCCCCAGGTTTTTAATTCTTCACCTTTATGTGATTTTCACTAACACAACTTTCTATGGTGTTTCTATCCAGGGTAAGCTTTATACCTATTATATATATTTTCTTTGCTTCATTTTTGTTCAATAAAGGTTATTACCATTTTCTTTGTTACGTTTACTTTAGGAGCTAATCTTTTAGAGTGAGATTGAATCCCATTCACTTTTGAGTGAGTGTTTTTTTCTATCTCACTCTTTCAGTTGGTAGTTATTTACTTGTTGTGGGGTTAAGCCCCCGTGTTACCTCTTGTAACCTACCTTGGGGTTCTGACGTTGGCTAGTCCAACATCACCACTCCTATCTCATATTTATAGTTGATTATCTAACTCTGCTATTTGTCCTGGGGGCCTATAAATCACACCTACACAAGTTACTGTGTGATTACCAAATTCTAACATAACCAAAACGGACTCTATGTTCGCCTCACTAACTTTTATTAAGCTAGATTTTATGCTATCCTTCACATACAGGGCCACCCCTCCCCCTTTCGTGCCTTCCCTGTCTTTTCTATATAAAGAGTATCCTGGTATTGCTATGTCCCAGTCATTTTTCTCATTATACCATGTCTCAGTAACAGCGACTAAATCTACATTATCAGTTGCCATTATTGCCACAAGTTCATGGATCTTATTCCCTAAACTGCGAGCATTTGTAGACATGACTCTAAGCTTATCCTTTTTTACTTGCACACACTTGCTAAAGGCACCTTCTGTCCTTGTTTTGGGGTGCAATTGGATTGATGTTTTATCACCCTTTTGCCCCCCCCCCCTCCTAGTTTAAATACATCCTAGCAAAACCTCTGAACTGCTCACTGAGAACATTTGTTCCCTTTTGAGAAAGATGCAAACCATCTTTTTTGTACAGCTTATCTCCATTCCAAACAGAGCTACCATGAGAAATAAAGCCAAATCCTTGCTCCCGACACCATTCACCAAGCCACAAGTTAAAGTCCCTAATACGCATCAGCCTGTCGTTCTGAGTGTTATGCACAGGCAGAACTTCAGAGAATGACAGTGTGGAAGCAACCTGCCATATATCATTGGCAAAAACACTAAAACCTTCCTTAACCTCTGAAACCTCATTGAAAGCCAAGTCATTAGTCCCTAGATGGACAAGTACATCCAATTCCCCTTCCTGCTTTGCTCGCTTAACAATATTACAAATACGTCTCCTGTCTCTGTGAGCAGTAGCTCCGGGAAGACATCTCACAAGACCACCATTGTCCATCTCCACACCTCTTATGATGGAATCCCCAACAACAACTGCTTTCTATTAGGCCTCACCACAGTCTCCAAGCCTGTCTCCACAACACCACACTCCCGCGCCAGTTTTGTCGCGAAAGGCCCAGCCTCCATATCTGAGATCATCAATCTCTTTGGTGTGCATTCAACGTCTCCATGCAGAACGTGGAAACACTGAACCTAGCTGCTGCACACTGTGCATCACTGAGATAGTAAGCACCTCTAGTGGTTGTCTAAGTAATTGCATTTAGAGGTTTTACCAGCTAGCAATGGAAACACTGCCTTTTCTCAGAAAAAAAACTGCATTTACATTCCTTTAGCTCCTCCATATGCTATAGACACCAGAACCACTACATTAAGCTGTATTGGTTCTGGTGACTATAGTGTCCCTTTAAAATTAATTTTGGTTTCACTCTGAATACTCAATTTAGTGAAAAACCCTGTGAGTCCAAAGCATATGACTTTTCAGGCTCAATCAAACAAACCACATGCTCTGTGCATGAATCCCTGTGCAACTAGATCCAGTTAGGGAACTAAGAAACTTCTACTGGTTGGTTAGAACATGTTTTTTACATTATCTATTGTAATCTATTCACATATTTCAATTTCACGTGTGTATTTTTACTGGATATGATGCTGAGTATGTGCACTTAACTTCTTTGGTCGACCATGGTGAGGCCTTTTCTTAGTGGAACCTGTCATGTGAAACCGCTGTATAGTCTTGCCCACTGTGCTGCAGCTCCGTTTCACGGTCTTGGCAATCTTCTTATAGCCTATGCCATCTTTATGTAGAGCAACAATTATTTTTTTTCAGATCATCAGAGAGTTCTTTGCCATGAGGTGCCACGTTGAACTTCCAGTGAACAGTATGAGAGAGTGTGAGAGCGATAACACCAAATTTAACACACCTGCTCCCCATTCACACCTGAGACCTTGTAACACTAACGAGTCATATGACACCGGGGAAGGAAAATGGCTAGTTAGGCCCAATTTGGACATATCCATTTAGGGGTGTACTCACTTTTGTTGCCAATGGTTTAGACATTAATGGCTGTGTGATGAGTTATTTTGAGGGGACAGCAAATTTACACTGTTATACAGGCTGTACACTTACTACTTTACATTGAGTGTCATTTCTTCAGTGTTGTCACATGAAAAGATATAAATATTTACAAAGATTTGAGGGGTGTGCTCACTTTTGTGAGATACTGTATGTATGTCTTGCTGATCTCTTCAATGCTTATCCGGAGTGGGGGTATTGTTCTGATTGTATATTGTTTATGTGCATCTGCATATCTGTATGTGTTTGATGTGTACATTGAGTACACAATTTTTTTTTATATCCAAAAATTGGATATATTTAATAGCCGTAATAGTGTAATACAAATAAGTATTTTTATTATTTTTTAATGTAGGATTAACAGCATAAGAATAGCTATGCAAATAAATTGTTAGCAAGATGCAATGTTTATGTTTTACTATTGCAGAACAAGTGCATACTATTTTTTTATTATAATGTCTCCTTTAAGAGATCCCACTTTTAAAAGAGATGGGCCCACATTTTCCTGTAAATAAAGGATTTCCATCATGAGTTTATTTAACTAATCCAGATTTATTTTAATGTTTATAATTTTGTTTTAAATCATGATACAAGAAAACGGAAAAATTTAAATTTAGTACATTTAGTAAAATTGTCATTTAGTATTAAAAATAAATCAATAGTAATATGATTCAAACCCTTGATTTAGATTGTTTTAAAGAGGTTAAATGCATCTCACCATGACACAGTGGGTCATTTACAGTGAGAGCAAGATATTGTTTCAATTCTAGGTGTTTGTTTTATCCGCAAATCCATCCAGGCAAAAAACACACAGCTTTCATTACTTAACACAAGTTTTTGTGATTTCTGTTTTAAAGTGCTTCATGATATACACCAAGCATTTTAACCCGCATTTCATGGCGTAGTTACCATATGACTCAGTAGATATCCCAATCCCACATACTAAAACACCCTGTAATCATCTGAAAAAAAAAGTTATGCTGTCTTTCTCAAAGAAATCTGCTGTTTATAATAGCTGTTAAGCTAACCACATTCTTAAGTAGTTCCCGATGCAACGGTCTTTGAATGAACAGTCAATGTAAAGACTTAGAACAGTGATGTATCCACCATTAGAGGTCAGTAATAAACAAGACTTCGAAACATTCTGCTTGCATTAAATGCTGTATCCTGCATTTCAAATGTGTTCAAAAAAAAGAATCGAATCCCATTTATCTTCTTCCCCTATTCCATAATAGTGACTCACACTGCATCATGCACATTTTCACTCATTCTTCTCTTTTACAACACTTCATTTGCTATTGTAGGGATCAGTTCTGCAGCATATAGTTTTATGCCAGATAAAAAGGTGCATATGTAGAAACACTGAAATTTAGGATTTGACCGCAGTTAATAGCAGCTTGCCTCATCTTGTCTGGCCTTTTACTACCTGAGTTAAAACCTCAGCACTTATTGAACCCCGGTGCTTGTTTATTTAACCTCTGCTAGCCTCTGCTCGAATTAAATCTCATGATTTTGAGACTATTAGTGAATGTTTTTTTACAGAGCTTCCAAATATTCATATTAACTTATATATATATATATATAACAACCTTTAGAACAATAGGGGTTATGTATAAAAAAAATAAAAAAAAATTGTTGTAGGCATTTATAAATAACCTCAAATGATTAACAGTAAATATACAAATTATCACAATGATAAATTATATACTTAGTTGATTTAGCAGATATTAAAATTTTACTTACCACTTATCTAGTTTTCAGTGCTGCTGTGTTTGGAGTTCTGTGGACATACCATGCTTCCGCTTCTGGTCCAACCATGCCACCACCACCCCTTCTCTGATGCATTTGGCTTTGCTTGGGGACATTTGCCTAAGTAGGGCAGTCTTTCTCCATGACAATGGTTTTATTGCCAGTACATCAGCACCAGATGAAAATGACATCAGCGGCCCAGTGGCATCTTCTGGGGATAAATTTGTGATGGCACACTGGAAAACTGTCTGCAGGGTGGTACCCCAGCTCTCTTCTATCACTCAGAATATGTTATAGAGGCCTATCTCACTCTCCTAAAAATATTAATTGACAGTTAAAGGAGGGTCCATATTTTTCAAATATTTAGCTCCAACGTTGCACACTTTCTAGCATTTTAAACGGCACAATATAAAGGTGATTTTTTTTTTATTTTTTATGATTCAATACAGCATACGTCAGTCAGTATGGCCAATACAGCATACGTCAGTCAGTATGGCCAATACAGCATATGTCAGTCAGTATAATCCTTGTATTTTCGTTTTGAGTAAGGAGCAAATCTACTGAAGCCAGCGAAATAGCAGGAGTCTCAGGAAAAAGTAAACAGAAAAGAAATATTGTACATATGAAATCCAAGGCAAAAGAAATAAAATAAAAATTAATTAAAATAATGAATTGGTAAGATCAGACGACACTGCATGTTATAAACAGAAATAGTGTAAGTATAAAGTTTAAGGCAAAAAAAAAAAAATAATAATAAAATAAATTACAATTATTGTAACAATTTTAAAAATTATTTTTTTTAGATCATATGAGACTACATAGTAGGAATTGGAACACAGTCTCTGGTAAAAATATATGTTATTTTATATGATGGCAAGTTAGATCATTGGACACTAAGAAGGAATCTCACAATTTTGGTTACATAACGATCCAGAGAATGGCCTTTTATGGATGCCACATTATAAAATATCCTATGCCACAAGAAAATGAGAGCAAACACTCAAGGATTCCTTGTAATTGACATGACATGCTCATTGTCACCATATGGGCAGGTGGAAATAAAAAACCACCATCAAACCTAACCCAATAAAACACGTACACAAGGTATCTAGGTCAAAATGTCCAAACCTTTATTAATGACAATAATAATAATACTTATAAATAACATAAGATTAAATAAAGTCATTGCCCCCCGATCCCCTCATACAGCATAAGGTAGCCCACCAAGTCCTGAAAGGCAATGGCCTTTAACTGTAAAATAGATAAATATTAACATATATTGAATAATTACCATCACAACTTGTACATAAGTAAAGTGCCAAATACTTCAATAACCATGGTAGGGGTATACCCGGATACCCCTACACCCACCAGGTTCTGAGCCACCGACGAGCTCGGAACCTACCAAAACTAACCCTAAACCATATTAACAGTGTTTCTTGACCTTGAATAGCTACCTTGTACTTTTCTGACCATTTAACCCTAACCTTTATCACCTTAACCTGCCACTGTGAAAAAAAGTGAACCAAATCCCCAGGGACATCTAACCCTAAGGGAGGGATGGAAGGAGAAATTTAGCCAGGTAAGCAGGTTAAAAGTGAAGAATTTTAAAATGGGTGCCTATTTATACTAACTCAACCTGCCATTAACTAACAACCAATCCCTTAGTACCTTCCACCTAAGCCCACCTCCTAGCTCTGTCAGGGCCAATTTCCACTAAGCTGCGCCCTGTTACATGGGGCTAGAGCAGGGGTCAAGTCCTGAGGAAAAAAGTGTGGGAACTCACCCAAGATTCCGCCTTTAAAAAAATTACACTCCTATGCATATAGTGCAGTGCAGGGTGTGTATAATGAATGTAGTGTGTTTGTAGTGAATGCAGAGTGTGTACAATGAATGCAGTGTATGTAGTGTGTTTGTAGTGAATGCAGAGTGTGTATAGTGAATGTAGTGTGTAGTGAGTGCAGAATGTGCATAATAAATGCAGAGTGTGTATAGTGAATGCAGAGGGTGTATAGTGAATGTAGTGTGTTTGTAGTGAGTGAATGAGTGCGTGTGTGTGTGCTGGTGAGTGCTGGATGATGTGTGTGTGTGTGCTGGATGATGTGTGGATGATGTGTGTGCTGGATGATGTGTGTGAGTGCTGGATGATGTGTGTGCTGGATGATGTGTGTGTGAGTGCTGGATGATGTGTGTGTGTGCTGGATGATGGGTGTGTGTGCTGGATGATGTGTGTGGAGTGCTGATGATGTGTGTGTGCTGGATGATGTGTGTGGAGTGCTGGATGATGTGTGTGCTGATGATGGGTGTGTGTGCTGGATGATGTGTGTGAGTGCTGGATGATGTGTGTGTGTGCTGGATGATGTGTGTGAGTGCTGGATGAT